ACACATACATATCTGTCTAATATGCTAATTGTTCCTCCAACTGTTCAACCATTCGACCAATTGCTATGATGTGCACTGAATACCAGGGGGCAGATGCTCTGACTGGCAGGTTAGCTGTGGAAGGGGTCCGGCTGATCGGGACTGGGCGAGATGGGCCAGACACACCCTGGATCCCTCCCACATTCTCTTCTTTGCCCCAGTCATGCACTGATGGTGTCCTTCGGCCTGGCCTGCACCCTCTTGCAATCTGGGATCCCCTCAGGGGATGTTGGAGAGCCGAATCCGTGCACCAGGCCTCCATTTTTAAATATTAAAAAATCAAATCATAGAAGCAGAAGATAACAGATTACTAACAAATGAAACATAGCATTTACCCCAATTTTTTCTATGTGCTGGTCAGCTTCTGAGGATTTAGGCATTTAAGAGGCAGGTTGAGTGACCCATCATACCTGGTCTTGTCCTGGAACTTGCCACCTGCCCTGCTGGCTTTGGCCTGGGTCTCTGTGATCACTTCCAGTAACAAAACATCATCTTTTCTCAAAAGCCCACATTTCTCAGCATTAATAAAATCAGTTCCATATCTTTCTCTGTGAAATTTCTAGTAAGTTTTTCCAAAATGTCAAATATGAAGAGAGACTGTACCAGGTGGAAGTCATACAAATGGGCAATGATTGTGAATAGGTTGTCACACTCTTTGCCTTCACTTCCCTTTTTATAGACGTCATCAAACTTCCTCATCACGGCCTCCAGAAAGGGAGCTCCGACCTGCACAAATGAAATAAACCAAACGTATTGCAAACACCTGACAATCATGGCAGCAAGTTACTCTCAGGGATCCTTCTTTTCAACAAGCTGTAGTGTTTATGCTGAAAGAGTCAGTACTTTTAAAATTAACGCATCATTATACACATGGTAGCAGGCACACGCCCACAGGGCATATGCTTTAAAAACCAGTCTGAGTGTACAGCACTGATACATGACCAAACGGACTGGTGGATGCAGCACAGAGCAATCCACCACAGCACTGGAGCCTCCCCTGTAAGCACCCTGTCTGATCTCCTAAGTCTAGGTGGACTGCCTCGGTCAGCAGCCATCTGACTCCTTGGAAAAAGACCACTGCACACCTCTGTCTGCAACGCTGCACATCTAACAGCACTCATTCTGAAGGATATGTGGAGCCTGGGGGAGGAGGCATGGAGCGGTGTTGAAGGTCCAGTTGGGAAGTGAGACCTGCTCACCTCTGTTGTCTTTCATTAATACTGGGAATATATAGGTTTTATGTATGTGTAGAGACTTTGGTGCAGGGAGAATCCTATTATTTCACAGGGTGAACATGCTGTATGATATCAGAGAAGGCCTGGCCCTGCTGACTGGTAACTAGTGGAATGTAGGACACAAGGGCTATGGTCAGAAAGCCCACTGCATGGGAGAACATACTTGCCAATGTTATCTCTGATAAGGGTTTAATCTCCAACATTTAAGGGAACTCATACAACTTAACAAAAGGAAGAACAACAACCCAATCAAAAAATGGGCAATGAACCTAAATAGATACTTTTCAAAAGAGGACAGAAGGAAGACCAAGAGACATATGAAAACATGCTCAAAGTCACTAAATCATCCAAGAGATGCAAATCAAAACAACAATCAGGTACCATCTCACACCTGTCAGAATGGCTATCATCAATAAATCAAGAAATGACAATTGCTGGTGAGGAAGCGGAGAAAAAGGAACCCTTGTGCACTGCTGGTGGGAATGCAGACTGGTGCAGCCACTGTGAAGAACAAACAGTATGGAGTTTTGTGAATGTCCCATGTCCCGCGTGGTTCAAGAGAAGGGGCTGCACGCAAATGAAAGAGATGAGACAAGAAATAATAATTTGGAAATATTGGGGGCCAGGCAGAAAGCCCAGTGCAAGGGAAAGGACTTCCACTGGTGCCCAGGCCTTGCCAACCTTTTATTCAATTTTGGATACAAATCTAGCTCTTAGTGAGGCAGGTAATTGCGGTGACAGACTATCTTAAAGGCCAGTAAATATTAGAAAGATCTACTCTGAGACTATTTGGTCAGGAAATAGCCTGAGCCCCCATTGTCTGGACTAAGCAATCGGTGCATAGCTCTGGCCCTTGCCAGGGGCTCAAGGTTCACCAGCATTCCGGGATCCTTGTTTACACTTCTCTGATAGTGAAGACAATGGGTGGCTTCCCACAGAGTTTCTTCAAAAAACTAAAAATGGAACTCCCATTTGACCCAATGATCCTACCTCTAGGAATATATCCCATGAAACTAGAAACACCAATCAGAAAAGATATATGCACCTCTATGTCCATAGCAGCACAATTTACAATAGCTAAGATTTGGAATCAGCCTAAGTGCCCATCAGCAGAAGAGTGGATTAAAAAACTTTGGTACAACTACACAATGGAATACTATGCTGTTGTAAAAAGGAAGCAAATCCTACTATTTGAAAGCATGGATTATGCTAAGTGAAAAAATTCAGTCAGAGAAAGATAAATATCACATGATCTCACTCATTTGCAGATTATAATGAACAACATAAACCGATGAACAGAAACAGATCCAGAGACAGAGAAGCATTGATCAGATGCTCAAACCTCAGAGAGGAATGTAGGGGAGGATGGGGGATAGTGAGAGAGATCAACCAAAGGACTTGTATGCATGCATATCCGCATAAGAAATGGATACAGACAACAGGGGGTTAGGGTGAGGGCAAAATTGGTGGAGTGAGTGGACAATGGGGGTTAAGGACACATTTGTAATATCTTAATCAATAAAGAAAAATAATAATGAATAAAAATCTCTGAACTCCTGTTGTGAAATCTTTTCTGCATAAAGTCAGGAACTCAAACATTAGAGGCCAAGCTGAGGCAGACCAACTCCAGGCTGGTTCCTCTTCCCTAAAAGTTATGCCTGGGACATCCTGTGTAAAGACAGAACAAGGCATGATTTTGCTCACAAGACTTGGAAGAAAACGTGATGACCCATAATCACTTTGTTGTTGTTGAGGCAAATCAACACTATTCATTTTTCAACAAATGTCTTTGATTTCTTAGAGAGAAAGGGAGAGGAAAAAACATCAATGATGAGAGAGAATCATTGACCAGCTGCCTCCAGCATTCCCCCACTGGGATGGAACCCCCAACCTGGGTATGTGCCTTGACCTTGAATCAAACCAATGATATGTTGGTTGATGGGTACACACCCAACCACTGAACCCCACTAGCTGTGCACACTATTATTTATTATTGTTGACTCTATTACAGATGTTCCCAATTTCCCCCCATCCTCCTCCCCCCTTTTCTCCCTCTACCCTGCCCTCACTGCTTCTAGTTCCTCACCACATTACTGCCAGGAACCAATGCCAGCATGTCATAATTTCAAGAGTTTCATCAAAAGGTTGATGAAACTTGGGGACTCAACAGGGTTGAGTCACACATGTAGTCTCCTGTTGGGAATGGCTAAAGGCATTTCCCCAAACCTGAATCGGAAACTGATTGTGGCCGCCAGACAGTTAAAGGGCATCTTAATCTACATGTTATTGCCTCCTACTGGCCAAACACCTGAACAGCCGTAGGCTATTCCCCAAACTGACAATGCTTCTGTACCCTTTGAAACCTTACCCTTTGAAGTGTATTATCTCCACCTTGCCTTAGGACAAATTGTGTTAATAAAAGCAAGGGTCCTAGACAAGGAGGTAGTCTTCAGTTCCTTTAGCTGAAGGTTCTCTGACCCCCAATGCCTTTCAAAATTATATCTTGTCTCTGGACTCTGTATTAGTCTATGGATTTCTATGTCATCTGCGCACAGCCTTTTCCAGATTCCTGAGCCCTTCTTGATGCTGGGACATGAACCCCGGCAATTACTGTATATGTCCATGGCCTATACATATATGTACATACTTGGTTTAAAATATTTTTGTTGATTTTAGAGAATGGGAGGGAGAGGGAGAGATAAAGGCATTAATGATGAGAGATAATTTCTGATTAGTTGCCTCGTGCATGACTCCATCCACACATTGGAAATTGAGCCTGCAACCTATGTAAACTATGTACCCTGACCAGGAAAAGAAACAGTATCAGATGACCTCATCATTTGTGGAATATAATGAGCAGCATAAATTGATAAACAAAGTTACATTCAGAGTCATAGAAGCATCGAACAGACTGTCAAACTTCAGAGGGAATTTAAGGGAGTGGGGGGGGGGGGTTAAGGGATCAACCAAAGGATTAATATGCATTCATATAAATATAACCAATGGACACAGACACTTTGGGAGCTAAGGACATGTGCTGAGGGGTGGGGGTGGCTGGGCAGAGCTCAATGGGGGAAAAAAGGAGTTATATGTAATAACATATGTAATACTATAAAAATAAATACTTTTAAAATATAAAAATAAAATAAAAAGAACCATGATGTGGTTCACAGGTCAAGGCTCAACCACTGAGCTACACCACCTGGGCTGCATTATTTTAAAATTTACAAAAATACATATATTTTTTATTGTTGATAGTATTATTGATGTCTCCCATTTCCCCCCTCTGTGTATATTCTTTGGTGGATCTCTTGCATTCCTCCCACCTCCTTCCCCTCAGAGATCTGTCAGTCTGCTCCAGTTAGCCAGGCCTCTGGTCCCATCTAGTCCCTCCCCAGGCGTCACTTGCGGGGCCACACCTTTATTCCCCTAAGTCATTGGCTGAGATGCTAGGACTACACTGAGCGATTGCGAAAACTACATTTCCCAGAAGGAACTGCACGCATGTGGGCGGCGCTAAAGGACAGTTTGGTGCCTGCACATCCGGTTAGGGCGGGACTTCCGCCTTCCTCTTCCCGTCGGTCATTTTAACTTTTTAGGTCTTTGTTCACAGACTCCCAGGCTTCAGGGCGCTGGTGGTGAGTCGGAGGAGGCCTGAGAGGCAGCGCGCCTGCTGTTCGGGGTGTGTCTGAGGCTTCTTGAGCCCAACAGCCCGAGATTGGCGTCCCCGTGCCTCCCGGACTCCTCTCTGCTCACCGCGTCCCCGCAGCCGGACCCCATTTCCCCCTCCAGCCTTGGGGACCGGCCTCCCGCCGCCCAGGTCCCAGCGCTCAGAATGGTGAGTCCCTCGTGGGTGACAAATGGCTGATGGGGGAAGAGGGTGAAAGGCTGCAGTGCCACCTTGTAAGGACGTGATGGTGCGACTGAGCAGGGAGGACTCGGAAACCCGGGCCTGTTGTGGGTGTAAAGGCAACAAAGACATGAGGTGAGGTTTTGCACGAGGAGTTTTAGTTTCACTCTCAGAACGCTGGGGCCATAGATGGTTGTGAAAAAAAGAGGGAATTTTCTGAGGCCGGATTCTAACTTTTCCTAACATTGCTCAGAGAAAGGACAGAATAGAAGACAGAGGACAGCAGCTGTGGACAGGAAGGGGAAGTCCTGTAAATGATAAGGGAACTGGCAGAGTGAGCACTGGGGACTGAGCCCGGAGATAACACAGGCATCTGGAGGGCACCTGGCCCCAGGGCTGGGCAAGGGCACTGAGCAGCCTGAGCCCATAGAGCCTGGTGGGTGCCAGACTCTCAACAGATCATTTTCATTTCACAAATTCCTGCAAATGCAGAATGAATTAGGTGTACGGGTTTGTAGAGCTTATTTTAGGGCCTCACCCCCTTGTGGCCTCTGAGATAGTAGAGTCCTGGGACTGTCCAGCTGCTCTTGAAGCCCTTGGACCTGGGGAGTTTGAACAGACACTAAGTCCAGAATCCTAAGGCCAGGAGTAGGGCTACATGACATGGACCTTGTATTTGGCAACCAGTGTAATGAGTGCGAGGTCCTTCAGACATAGGTTCCGGAATGTGCAAAGGCTGAGTGAGGAGTGAGCTTGTTCAGGAAACCTCAGGTATATTTTTTAAAATACAGTTATATTTTTATTGATATTAGATGTAGAAAGGAAGGGAGAGAGAGAGAGAGACAGAAAAACGGATGAGCAAAAAACAAGGATTGGTAGCCACATGCACAATTCCTACTGTGTATCCAGACCACAACCCAGGCATGTGACCTCTCGAGTGCATAGGTCTATGCTCAACCAACTGAGACACATCAGCCAGGACTGTAGGTCACTTTAATACAGGGAATCATGGTCAGGATGGTAATGGTAGTAGTAGCTCAGAAGGGACAGTGAGCCTGAGGACTGGCTTTCTTGCTGGGGCCACTATTTATGGGACATGGATGTCACAACACAGCATAGGTACAGAAGTTGTCATGTAGAGTGTGGGGAAGAGAGAATGGTTTTGCAGTGGCCAATGCCTTTAAAAGATAAGTGTACCTGAGATTAATCGGAGGCCGAAGAGTAATTCAAACAAGATGAGACTAGGGCTGGTACATAACTTTTCTAATCTCTCACCAGGATTTTGTTGTGACCCTTGTTGTGTCCTGGCTGTGGGGAGTTGCAGTCAGTCTTGTGGATTAGCTAAGAGGCTTGAGTGGTCCTCTGTGAGACTCACTGGGCTTGGTGCAGAGGGCCATCGGGGCTGGGACTTGAGTGAAAGTTAAAGGAGAGATGTTGGCTGTGACTAGTGAAGGGACATTAAGTGCCACATCACAGGAGGTGGTCTATGGATATATGAAATCTGATTGTTGTTCTTAATAGTTGAGGTTGAAGGAAAAAAAACAGTCATGGAGAGAGGCATACATAGCAGGACTCAAGGCTGCCTCTATGAGTGTGGAGTATCAGAGTCTGGGCAATGCTTGATCCTGATTCAATTTGGCAACCATCCTCTGGACCACACATGCTGAGTAATAAGTAAAAGGCCAGGAGATGAATGTGGGGGTTGCACGTTTGAGAGAGGCGTGGTATAAAGAGTGATGTACACTTGGAGAGGGAATGGGAATTCATGGCCACAGCATCATGACTTTGACATAAGAGTGAATGAAGGAAGAGTCTATTTATGGTGGTCCTTGGATGTAACAATAAGGTGAATTTTAGGATAATTGCCTGTATAAAGAGGTGTTTGGGTGCTACAATCTAGGTTTACATCTTAGGTGCCATTTAACTAACCACCTGCCTTTCCTTGTTGGGAGTGACACATTGGTTGATGGGAATGAGGTAGTATTCGTCAGTGTTACCCAGGCTTGTAATTTTCCACTTGCATTGGTAAGGAAGAAGGGTAAGAGATAAGTAGATTTCGGAGGTGGTGAACTATCTTTTTGGAAAAGAAGGTGATTAGGAAAAAAATTATCCACGCCATGGAAAATTTGCGTTACCTTTGATATTGTGCCTCTGGGAAAGAAGCTGTGTGAGAGCAGTGTTGTTCAAAGAATTATGTGCAGCAGGTAGTGCAAAGCAATGACCTCATACCTTGGGATTGGGATCAAGCTGATGCAGTGTGACGCCATGTTTTTGATGTCTTAGAGGAACAATCAGAAGGACAAGTCTATTTCTTGAAGAGACCAGTATCAAATCACTCACACTATTTTTATCATCAATATCCCTCTCTAACCTATGGTTTTGACACCCACTCTATTGATAAGAGGCAGTGTGGTATACATGGGAGTTCCAGAGCTCAGGTATCTTCTGCTCAACTGTCTTAATTGTTGTGGGAAGAAACTATCAGCAGAAATATAAGAAGACAGTGGCTTTCATAGGATGAAAGCCTGGTATTTAACATAATATGAAGAGTGGAAAGAAAAGATGGGTGTGGAGTATGACAGACTTATAAACTTAGGAGTGAATCTGATCATGGGATGTACTGTCTCCATTATGACAGGTTATGAACTTTGAGGATGTGGCCATTGCCTTCTCTCAGGAAGAATTGGGGATCCTTGATGAGGCTCAGAGACTTCTGTACTGCGATGTGATGCTGGAAGTTTTTGCAGTTGTATCATCTATAGGTAAGACCTTCACATTCTCCCAGTGTCCTGAGGTGATGACCTCACTTCCTTTATTCCTCAGCCATAGCTTTCTCTCTCCCACAGCCAGAACAGGCCTCTGCTACTTTCCCCACTGTTCTGTCAAATGTGCTGTGGCTGCCAGGGATGAACTGGATGGGGAGCCCTGAGCAAAGGACTCCAGGAACATCCCTATCACTTGTTACCTCAAAAAGTATAGGAAACAGAAAGTCAGGAATCTTGCAGTGAGCTCAATGGGTCCCAGCTTGCACTTTCTCTTCATGGGAGGCTGACAGTGTCCACATGCATGACTTCAACTTCTGCACTCCTTCTCTAGGTAAGGGTTCTTTGTGGCAGCTTGTGCCATGTTATGGTCTTTACATACATGAACCATGGGCTTTTCTTGTAAGGCCCTCATTCAGTTGTTAGTAATATTTTCTTCCCTGAATACTATAGCAAATGGTGTTGGTCTGGCCCAGTGCTGACTGCTCACTTCTGTATCACCTGTTCCTCTGCATTTCTGCCTCTGCAGTATTCTGCAACATTGACTTACACATGTGTTATGAGGTGCACATACGTGCTAAGTAGTCCTCAACACCAGCTACTCCTTTATTGAATTTTACTTGGAGTAAGAGGGAACCAACTTCTTGCACAGCTCGCCCCAGTCCCCAGCAGACAAGCCATGCTGAATGCTGTTAGTTGAAGGATTATCTGGAGATCCATATTCTAATCCATGTGGTGCTTGCCATGTTTGTGTCATATTTCTCCTGAGGCCTCCCTATTTTGTGATCATCATTAGCCCAGAAAGTTACAAGAGCCTCTTATTAATCCTTCCTGCACATCTCTTATTTTCAGACAATTGCATGGAACCAGTGTGTGATGCATAACACAGTTTTGCAATGGGACTTCCCCCGTCACACAATCAACATTCATTTCCTCACCATTTCTCACTTTTCAGGTTGTTGGCATAAAATGGAAGATGAGGAGGCCAGTTCTGATCAGAGTGTATACATACAAGGAGAGTCACAGGTCAGGGCTTCTAAGACAGCTGCAGCCACCCAGAAGACCTTTCTGTGTAAGCAGTGTTTCTCTGTGTTACAACGTATTTTGCACCTGACTGGGTCACATGCAGCAGACTTTGAGCAGAAAGCCTTCTGTACTGATGTATGTGTTGGAGACTTCTGTTTCAGTGCAAACCCTCACCAGCAACAGAGGAATGAATGTGGACAGGGGCCCTGGAAACAAGCTATGGACAGGGCCTCCTTTGTGAACAGGTGCAGCTTCTCCTTATCTTTGGTGACTTCAACTAGGAGGGAGGTTGGCAAAGACTTGCAACCCAACTCAGAGCTTCCCCAGCACCAGGCTACTCTCAAGACTGAGGAGCTACACTGTGGCAGTGAGATTTCACAGGAATTTCTTGATGGAAAAAGTCATCACCAGTGGGGTGACTGTGAAAACGCTGCCAGCCACAACCTGGAAGATGTTAAATGTCAGGGTGGATTTTCTGAAGAAGTAATTTTTGAGTGTGACAAATGTAGGGAAGTGTTTAGACGAATCTTTAACCTCATTCAACATAAGAGAGTTCACACTGGAGAACAGCTGTATGAGTGTCATGAATGTGGGGTTTCTTTTCGTCTGAGAGCTCACCTCACAAGACACCACAGAGTTCACACTGGAGAGAAGCCATATGAGTGTAGTGAATGTGGGAAGTCTTTTAGCCAAAAATCAAATCTTATTGAACATCTGAAAGTTCACAGTGGAGAGAAGCCATATGAGTGTACTGAATGTGGGAAGTCTTTTAGCCGAAAATCTAACCTCATTATGCATCTGAAAGTTCACACTGGAGAGAAGCCATATGAGTGTACTGAATGTGGGAAGTCTTTTAGCCGGAAATCTAACCTTATTATGCACCTGAAAGTTCACACCGGAGAGAAGCCATATGAATGTACTGAATGTGGGAAGTCCTTCAGTGTAAGAAGTACACTCATTAAACACCAGAGAGTTCACACTGGAGAGAAGCCATATGAGTGTACTGAATGTGGGAAGTCTTTTTGCCAAAAATCTAGTCTTATTAAACATCTGAGAGTTCACAGTGGAGAGAAGTGTTAAATGTGCAGGAAATGTTTTATTTTATTCACTTAGAATAATAACACTGAAGGCGACTCTTTGGGACCTATTTTCCTGAATTGAAACCCCCCCCCCTTTTTTTATTTAAATATATGTCATAGATTTTTTACAGAGAGGAAGGGAGGGGGCTAGAGAGTTAGAAACATCGATCAGCTGCCTCCTGCACACCTCCTACTGGGGATGTGCCTGCAACCAAGGTACATGCCCTTGACCGGAATCGAACCTGGGACCCTTGAGTATGCAGGCTGACGCTCTGTCCACTGAGCCAAACTGGTTAGGGCTGAATTGAAACCCTTTTAATGGCACATACACTCTGCTAGATTCCTCACAAGTTTCCAATACAACTGAGGCTTGAAGGAGGTGCATTGCACTTGGTAACATGCTCAGATCTAACACCTGATTAATTTGTGGCTGAAGAGATTTCCCCTCTACCACCTGGCTCACCTGAAGACTGTGTATCAGTCCCAACACTTGTGTGCTCAGGGGACATGTATTCTGTGTTCTCACTTGTGCTTGAGAACATTATGATTATTCCAGCTCCTGACAGGATCTTCATTCCTTTCTCTCTGAGGAGGTAATGCACCTGACCCAGGGTTCATCAGGGGCACCCATCCTCAGCTAAGAAGTGCTGCCTCTTTCAGGGACATGTGGTTCTCACATTATGCTGTGATGAATTGTTTCAGGTTCTAATTCACCAACCTGCAAACCGCTTGCTGTGCTCTGTCTGGTTTGTGATCTTTTAGTAAAGGTGTTTTTTCTTTTGTACCTTTAATTGTCCTGGTTATATTCAATTCCAGGGATGATTGTCAAGAACAATTATGATCTAACATTGTAGAGTTAACAGATACTGTGTGAATCCCAACATTTCTGTGCTTTAGGAGGGACAGCATAATGCCAGAAAATCACACTTTGACCAATATTGGCTTATATTGCATTGCTGCCCACAGCCTTGCAAGAAAGGCTGCATGACTTTGTGGTTCTAATTTGCAGGTTTGATCCCAGCCCATATGAGGATGTAGGAGGCATCTAATTTTTCTTCTTTCTCACATTGATATCACTCTCAATCTCTCTCTTCCTCTCCCCTTTCACTTGCACTCTCTCTCAAAATATCCTCAGATGAGGATTACCAAAAAAATCCAAACATTCACCCTGGTGCTCTGAGTTGGGGCCTCTGCCTGCACAGTCCACCTTTTCTCACTCTTTCCTGCCTTTGCCTGGGATGCTCCCACTGTAGCTGGGCTCACTGTGCCCTTCCCAGTGTTTGGCAGAGAGGAGGCCCAGGCAAGGCCCTGGGAGGGATTTGGGTTCTGTGTCTGCCTGAGATGTGCTGGCCAGGTCTCTCCAGCCTGCTCTTCCCCACCCCCCAGGCACCTGCCTGCTGCAAATGAACCTACTTCTTTTTTAAAAAGAAAATATTTTTATTGATTTTTTACAGAGAGGAAGGGAGAGGGATAGAGAGTCAGAAACATCAATGAGAGAAACATCGATCAGCTGCCTCCTGCACACTCCCCACTGAGGATGTGACCGCAACCAAGTTACATGTCCTTGACCGGAATTGAACCTGGGACCCTTCAGTCTACAGGCCGACGCTCTATCCACTGAGCCAAACCGGTTAGGGCTGAACCTCCTTCTGTATCTGGGAGAAGCCCAGATGCTTTGGGCCCCAAAATCAGTTCACCTTTAGAAAATCCTGCCTCCAGCCAACCCACTCACACCCCTGTAGGCCACTGATTTTTAAGTCTCTTTTTATCATTTTAGGGATTATTTGGCACTTTAATTTTATTAAAACTAAAGCATGCCTCTCTCCCACCCCCTCACCCAGCAGCATGGGTTCTCCAGGATATGGTGGTGTGTATATTCAATGGTGAGAACATTCTGCAATACAGGTGTTTCCAGAAGGAGAGGCTTGGTCTCCAAATAATTCCACGTTCAGAGGATGAGTTGTGGTTGGTGTGTCTCCTCTCCCCCCACCCCCCTAAGTTTTCCTGTGCATACACGACCTGAAATGAGGTGATAGTTCCTGGATTCTGGGGAATACTGTGCTGCTGGGGTGTGTTTGAGGGGCAGAGAGGTTGGCTGCTTATGAACATGTTTCTGTCAGCTCATGGGTCAGGTTCCCTGAGTGGGGAGCTGAGGGAAGGCTGTAGTGTGAGAACTTGAATCAGGCTGGATGGAGGCTCAGCAGCCATGGGTGGGCATAAGGGACACATATAAAGACTGAGGCTGTGGATACTGTTGAGCCCAGCTGTTTCAGACGCCCCAAATACAGAGTCCCCTGTCCTCGGGAACTGGCATCTAGTGGAGAACAGTACACAATGGACCAGGATACCTGTGACAGGTGACAACAGCTGTGGTGGGAGGTCAAACCAGCATTGGTCAGTGGGGTCTTCACTGAGGAAGTCTGGGAAGGGGTGGCAGGCTCCAGGTGGGAGCCTGCAGGGAGCCTGCCCTGTGCATTTGTGAGCTGTAGGGGGGTCACTCTGGCTGGTTTTAACAGCAAGGATCAGAAAGTGGTAAAAATAAAATAAATGGTGGCTGAATAGGCAGATGTATTGTGGATATTGTCCTGAGCCAGACTGGAAATACAACTAAATTGCAGAACATCCGCCTGGTATTAACACATTAGATGCAGCTGAGCAGACAGTTTACAACAAGGAAGGGCAGAGGACACTTGGACAATGGCAAGAACTGGGAAGTGGGCTTGAGAGGGACAGCCAGTGGGCCAAGAGGGGGAGGAGAAGGCTATTTTGCTCCAAAGCTGCGTCCCTTCACGACGTGGGTAACATCCAACTGTGTAAAGGAAAGCCACAGGGCAGCTGGCTGCCAGGGAAATTGGACCAACGGCAAAAGCCCCAAAGGCTGCTCCATGAAGAGCTCCCCAAGCAGCACGGTGCTGGGGAGAGACAAAAGAGCAGTTTCATTGTTTTGGTTTGGTTTTGTCTTTGCTTTTATGCTCTTAACCCAGAACACAGGACTTTCCTATTGCAAACACTCACTTGAGGCTTTGGAGCAGGGAGAGAGGCACAGACTTGAGGTGCCTGAGGAGAAGCTGAGGTGGAAAGCAGGGCAGGGAGACATGGCCAAGAGGCCTGCATTGGGACATTCTTTGTTTTATTATTTAAATTATTTATTTTTTAAATTATTACATAAGTCTCCTGTTCCCCCCATTGACCTCTCCCCGGATGCTTCTACCCCTCAGCACATGCCCTCACCTCCTTGCTGTCTATGTCCACTGATCATGCTCATATGCAAGTATGCAAGTCCTTCGGTTGACCTTTTACCCCTTCCCTTCCCCTGCCTTCCCTCTTAGTTTGGATGGTCTGTTCAATGCTCCTGTGATGCTGGCTCTATTTCTGTTCATCAATTTATTTTTTATTTATTTACTTATTTATTTTTTAAATATATTTTATTGATTTCTTACAGAGAGGAAGGCGGAGGGATAGAGAGTCAGAAACATCAATGAGAGAGAAACATCGATCAGCTGCCTCCTGCACACTCCCTACTGGGTATGTGCCTGCAACCAAGGTACATGCCCCCGACCGGACTCGAACCTGGGACCCTTGAGTCCGCAGGCTGACGCTCTATCCACTGAGCCAAACCAGTCAAGGCTTTGTTCATCAATTTATGTTGTTCATTATATTTCACAAATGAGGGAGATCATGTGATATTTATCTTTCTCTGACGGCCTTATTTCCCTTAGCATAATGCTCTCTAGGTCCCTTTCTCTGACCTTATTTCCCTTAGCATAATGCTCTCTAGGTCCATTCATGCTGTTGCAAATGGTAAGACTTCCTTCTTTTTTACAGCAGCATAGTGTTCCATTGTGTAGATGTACCATAGTGTTTTAATCCACTCTTCTGCTCATGGGCATTTAGGCTGTTTCCAAATCGTAGCTATTGTAAATTGTGCTATGAACATAGGGGAGCATATATCCTTTCTGTTTGTTTTTTCTGATTTCTTGGAAAATGTTGCTAGAAGTGTGACATTATTACCTTCCAAACCTAAGCTGCCATTTCTACCCAGAAGAGCCAGCCCCTCCCAGTAGGCTCAGGACAGGAGATACTCCTGCCACACCCTGCATTTTGAGCTTAACAGAGGAAACAAAGTCAGAGGCCAAGCTTATGGGTCTGAATAGTCCCAAAGTGCCCTCAGTGACTATTGGAAGAGGGACTGGTACACCCTGCTTTTTGGGGAATCAGACTGATAAAAACTCCAGGTTCCCAGCCAACCCCATTGGTCTCCATACAAGGATCTCTGATCAACCAAGGCCAGAGTAATATTTTGGGACACAGCTGTTGTTTTCTTTCTCCTACAGCCACACCATGGGTTCTGCAAATTGTCTTCACTGTCATGTCAAATATGCTATGGATGCCAGTGCTGAGCTGGGTGGAGAGCCCCAAGGAATAGAATCCACAAACTTCTTTAACACTATTTTCCTCAGAAAGTGCAGATGTGTCTGGGAGCCAAGAGTCTTACAGACAGCTTAATGGTTCCTACTTGCTGTTTCTCTCCCTGGGAGGCTGACTATATCTAGATCCATGGCTTCCACCTCTGCACCCTTCCTCTAGATCAGGGGTGGGCAAACTTTTTGACTCGAGGGCCACAATGGGTTCTTAAACTGGACCGGAGGGCCGGAACAAAAGCATGGATGGAGTGTTTGTGTGAACTAATATAAATTCAAAGTAAACATCATTAAAAAAAAGGGTACGGTTTTTTTTTTTTAGTTTTATTCATTCCAACCAGGCCGGATCCGGCCCGCGGGCCGTAGTTTGCCCACGGCTGACCTAGGGCCAGGGGGAAGGGAACAATGGGGACATTATTGTTTAATAGGTATGGAATTTGAGTTTGAGATGATGAAACCACGGCTTCTGATAAAGGTCCTGGGTGACTGCCTGTGCCAGGTTATGGTCTTTACTTACATGAACCATGGACTGTTCTTATAAGACCCTCCTTCAATTGTTGTTTGTACTATTACCTTCCCTGAATACTATTACAAGTGGAATTGCTCTGGACCAGGGCTGGCAGGTCACCAGTGTCATCTCTCATTAACACTTGGGATATTTAGCTTTTATGTATTTGTGGA